CTTTCTCTCTCTTTCTCTCTCTCTTTCTTTTTAGTTTTTTTGAGACAGAGTTTCACTGTTTAGCTCTGACTGTTCTGGAGCTTGTTTTGTAGAACCAACTGGTCTCAAACTCACAGAGATTTGCCTGCTTCTGCTTCCCGGGGGTTGGGATTAAATGTGTGCGCCACCACTCCCTGGCTCTGAGGGGTTTATGTGTCTCATCCTATATGTATATTTGTGAATTGGTCCCTCTGCTTAGGTGAAGACTGTTGTATTAGGGCCCGTCTCCCTATCTCTAAAATAAGGTTGCGAATTCTTGTCCTCCGGGATCGTTTGTCCAAGACAACGATGGACCCTAAGCAAAGATGTCAGCGGTGCAGCGCGTGGCATGCAGTGCTCTGCAGAAGTCTTTCTCTTAACTAGCGATGGCAGGGTTTCCTTCAGCGTGCAGCTTTCTCTTCCTCTTTGGGGAGTGTTTATGACAGTATAGCACACATCTGGGTGTGTCTCCCTTCTATGACTCTCCAACCCTTTGCTTGGTTTTGAGTGTCAGGGCTTTCCCTCTGGCGGAGGTCTCTAATCCTAGCCATGAGTCATTATGTTCTTGAGGTGGGTACTGCTTGTCCCTGGCAGGTTAGTTAGGGCTTGTGGGTGCTGCAGTGCTGGAAGGTTCTGTCACTGAGGTCCCCCCAGATGCAGGTGCAGTTCCTTCTTCCACGAGTATCCCGTTCTGCGTGCAGACTGTGCTAGTCAGGTCCACTGCTCTGTGGAGTGTAGGTCTTGTCTTCAGATTTGGCCCAGTTCAGTCATTGAGACCCTAGGCCTTGTCACTCAGAGTCTGTCAGTTCCTGTCACCTTGACATAGACATTGGCTATCTGTAGCTGCAGTAGCAATTGCCCTGAGCTCTCCTCTGCGGAGAGAAAGGGGAAGGCCTAGTCCCCTGGTGACAAAGGGGACATAATGCTCTTCTGATGGTCACCCATGCCAGGAACGCTCTGCTTTTGGACATCGTCTGGATCTGCTCAAGTATAGCCCCTCTGGAAGCGGGCACAGGCAGAACCTTGCTGCTGCATGGAATTTTGAGGTTCTGAGTTGCAGGATGGGGCATTCTGTCATGGCATTTGGCCTGAACTGTGCCCTATCCCCGAGTACTTTCTGTCTTTTACCTAGAGCACCCTCACCGCCTCACTAAAACAGCCTTCTGCCTCAGGGGTTCTCCACTCCAGCCCTGCTTCTCATCAGAAAGGATACCAAAGCCATCTATTGGGCCACAGGAATGGAGCTAGCAGAGCTGAGTTCTAGGGCTTTAACACTTCCCTATTAGCCTCCGTGTACCTTCCTTTCCCCATATGTGAGTGGCAGCCAGTGCTGTCTTCTAGAATGTCACTGTAGGGGAAATTTTGCATATACTTGCTGCCAGAAATGGCAGTGGTAGCCACATGCGGCTGCTAGGCACCTGTAATGTGGCTAGTAGAACTACATTTTTAACATCAAGCTGGGTGTGGCGGTACACCTTTGCAATCTCAGAACTCAGAAGGTGGAGGCAGAAGGATCAGGATGTTTAACGTCATTCTCAGCTACACTGGAGAGATGGCTGGGGATTGGGGGTGAGGACTATTTCAAAGACCCCCAAGTTCGACACCGAGCAACCATGTTAGGCCACTTGCAACCACCTGGAATTCCAGTTCCAGGGCAATTTGACACCTCTGGCCTCATGAGCATGTACACATACATATGAACATAAAAAATTAAAAATAATTTAAAATTGGGAGCAGCCTGGCATAGTGGTGCAGGCCTTTAATGTCAGCACTTGGGAGGCAAAGACAGGCAGATCTCTGTGAGTTTGAGGCCAACTTGGTCTACAAAGTGAGTTCTGGGACATCCAGAGCTACATAGTAAGAACTTGTCTCCAGAAAAAAAAGGGGCTGGTGACTTTAAGCTAGGCAGTGGAGGCACACATCTTTAATCCCAGCACTTGGTAGGCGGAGGCTGGCAGATCTCTGAGTTCAAGGCCACCTGATCTACACAGTGAGTTCCAGGACAGCCAGGGCTACACAGAGAACTCCTGTCTCAAAAACAACAAAAGAAATTGAGTTGTTTATTTATGTGTGTCCATGTGGGCCTATGTATGCCACATATGTGGAGGTGTGCAGGGAGGCTAGAGGGCATAGGATCCTTGGAGCCGGACTTACTGGCTAGTGGTAGTGAGCCACCTGACATGGCAGCTGGGAACTAACTCAAGTTCTCTGGGAGATCAGCAAGCATTCTAAATTCACACGAAGTCATCTCTCATCTGGTGGGAAAAATATCACAATAGTTTAATTATCTGCCTAAAATTATTTTATTTTTGACTTTTGGAGACAGGTTCTCATGAAGCTCAGGTCACCATTAAACTCTAGATCTTCCTGCTTGCCCATTTGAGTGCTTGGATTATAGGTGTATACCACCGTACCAGACTAATCCGTTTAAATTTAAATTGCCACATGTGGCTACCATGTTAGTAGCACACATTTGACTCCCTCCATTAAAGCCCCAAAGGCTTGTGATGAGTGACTGAATTGTGAAGAATTCCCCCAACCTTCAAAGACCATTTTTGGATTTCCCTGGAGGCCTGACTTAACCTAACCATGTGGGAGGAGAGGGAGGAGCATCCTGGTTTGCTACAGGTTCCACTGGTGGAGGGCAGACCAAGAGCTGGGGCCTAGAAGCAGAAAATCAGGCCATGGCCACCATGGCCTCACACCTCTCATGTGCATGCCATGTCTTCCAGGCCTAGATTTGATGAGAAGAGAGCCCTTCCTGGCTGTGTCAGGATAACAGAGCTGAGCAGGGCCACAACCTGTAGCATGAGCCCAGTGGTTCCTGTTCTCAGCGGTGGAGAGCTTTTCAGAATTACTTCTCCTCTAAGTAGCGTAGTGAAGGAAGCATGTAGCAAGTTGGTCCTCAGCACTCTTTGCATCTAAAAGACCCTTGTCCTAGGGCTCAAGCTAGAGAAAGGGAGCTGTGTCAGGTCCTAGCCCCTCTGGCACTTGGGGGCCTGGCCTATGAGGCTTTGCATTGACTAGGTTTTAGGCGTGACCCTGTGCATGTCTGGAACTGTTGCTTCAGACTGCAGTGACTCACCGTGGAAGGAGGGGGGGAGGGTGGGGCCCCCATGTGGGTGAGTGAGCTGGCTCTCTTTCCCCTCTGCTGGCTCAGCACCAGGCTGTTTAGCTGAGCAAGGGGCCCTGCACAAGGAGGAAGACAGGGAAACCTGAAGGGGTGGCTTCAGTTCTTAGGGGTCCAAGCTAGAGACTTTTGCTTTTCCTTCTTCTTAGGCTGGCTTCTCAGTGTTGGTCTGGGGCGGAGGCAGAAGGTGCCAGTTTCGAGTTGGGAAGAGTCAGTATGACTTTCCTCTTAACGTGGCCTCTTCTGCCTGCTCGGAAGGGAGGGGGTATTTCCCTAGCTTAAGCCTGTGCCAGTGGGCCTCTCTCCCGTCTTTGCCCGTACTCTAGCCAGCTCCTGTGTTGTCAAGTAGGCTCATGATAAGTGCTGCATTTATGAGTTTGCTGAGTTTGAGAACAGGTGTGGTGATCTGGGGTTTATATTTGTGTTTATATTTTATCCATGTTGGTATCTGCCTGAACCCGGGCCTGCTAGGTGCCGTGGATTTCCAAGAGCCACAGTCCCATCCTAGAGGCCGATTCCAGCACCTTGGATGCCCCATTTATATTCCATTGCCCTGATAAGCCTCTTAAGATTTCTGGAACATTATGGAGCCCAGTTGGTCACACCCAGAGTTTCTTGCTTATCATTTGTGCCCGGGACAGGACTCTAAGTCTTTTAAATTTCCGTATCTGGCACATAGAGTGCATTCAGTAAGTGTCTAGAGGATGCCTGAGTGATGGGAGGTAACAACCTAATGCAGTGTACAATTAAGTGCTGGGCTGGGCTGTGTTTGCCCTGATTGGTATCCTTTATAATATCTAGTGCAGACTTGGGCATACAGGAGGTGGTCAGTATGCATACATTTATTGATTGGTTGACAAATTTCTGGATGTAAACAGTTTCAGGGTGGGACTTTGGGTGAGGCTCACCACAATTTATAGAGTCCCTCAGACAATTTCACAGGTATGCTTTAGATGGCTGCCAGTGCCATTTTGTGGGGGTGGCTATAGTTAGTTCACCATTCTATCTACCATCCTACCAGGTGCCTTCCCAGGGTACCTCTGCAGCTGATAACTCATCTGGTGGCAAGGAGGAATGTCTTTACCTATGGGGTCTGGCTCAGGGCCCAGTGTGGGCAGTCAGATGGCCTTTGACTCACCAAGGTCCTTGACTCACCACAGGCCTGAGTTGGGCTCAGCTTTGCTTCAGTCTTGGGAGTCTGGTAGAGTGGGATTGTCTTTTTTTTTTTTTGTCAGCTTGAAAGGATTCCTTTTGGTCCTGAGGGCCAGGCTAGAGATGGTAAACTGAGTCACTGTCAGTGTGATGGGGAACAGCAGCATTTGTGCTTGGTGAATGATCTCACATTAGTGGAAAGGTGAGACTCAATGTGGCATAGGGGACAGACCCACAGAAACACAAGCTAGGGCCTGGCATCAGCATTGTGTGCACTCCAGGCAAACTGGCCTTTCAGAGTCTCAGTCTTTCTGCTTGTAAGGTGGAACCAGCTATTCTAGAGAATGGTGAACACGGGTGTGCTGTGGAACCTCCGTGGGCCAGCTGCTGTCTTCTTTCAATCTCTATGGAACTCTTACCATTGCCATGTTCACAGCCAGGGAAACATGTTCAGAGAGGTCAAGTGTCCTTGGCAAGAGTCCTGTAACTAGGAGGATGCAGCCAGCGGTGGAGACCTGGTCCAGTTTCCTTTAATTTCGTTTTTTGTGGCAACAGACCTCAGAGTCATGTAGTTGCTGGCTGTAGTGGGGACCTGACTGGAGTTTTGGCCTGGCCTGTAAACAGCATCTATCATTTGGGTGGCAGCTCATGGAGGTTTTGAAAAGCCAAATGTGAGCATCACGATGAAATTTTTTCCTAGGTTGTGTGACTGAGATTGCCAAAGAGAGAGAGACTGATAGAAGAAGAGAAGAAGGAGGGGCGGGCTCCTGGCAAGGCGTTCGCTCCTGAACAGAGTCCTGCAAAGGTCAGCAGGTGGGATGGTGCAGAGGGGTGGAGGTTAGGATGGGGGATCCTGGGCATTTGATGTGGCATTTGGAACTTTCCCTGGGTGGATCAAAGGACCTGTTACTCCCTTTCTATACTCTTTATTGTTCATTGGGAGAACTTCCACAGTGGAAAAACATGATACAGATCACCCTCCTACCTGAGGAACCCCTTACTTGACAGGTGAGCCAGGGCTGAGGGAGCAGGTGCATGGCTCTTGGTTTCCATTCCCTGAGTGTGCACAGCACCAAACATTTCTGGCTTTCTCATGCTTTTCTGCCCCCGATGTCTCCCGTGACCAGTGCTCTTGTTTCTTCGCCTCATCCCAGATGGAGAAGGAGGAGGAGACAACTCGGGAGCTGCTGCTGCCTAACTGGCAGGGCAGCGGCTCCCATGGACTGACCATTGCCCAGAGGGATGATGGAGTCTTTGTTCAGGAAGTGATGCAGAACTCCCCTGCGGCCCGCACTGGGGTGGTCAAAGAGGGTGAGTCTCCCCAAGGTAGTGACTGGGCACTGAGGGGTGAGAGAGGTTACTGAAAGGAAGGACGGGAGGCAGGGGGAGCAGGCAGACATGACTAAATGGCTGTGGAAAGCTTGGGTCCAACAACTTGAAGATGGTCAGTATCCAAGCCCTGTTTTTTTTTTTTGCCTACTCTGTGTCTTGCTTGTGAATATGAGGGGAGGCAGTTATATGGAGATCTTGTCTTCAGATGAGTCTTCTCCCTCACAAGCTCTGTAGCTTTGTGTAGAATAGTTGGTCTTTCAAGCCGCAAGGAATGGGCAATACCATGTCTGCATGGTATTCACAAAGCTAAAGCAAAGTCAGTTTTAATGTCTGTTATGTGGTACTTTCTTGAGTTCTGCATGTCTTTTACCTAAATGTTGTACTTCCATATGTAGGGGACCAGATTGTGGGTGCCACCATCTACTTTGACAACCTGCAGTCTGGTGAGGTGACCCAGCTACTGAACACCATGGGGCACCACACTGTTGGCTTGAAGTTGCACCGAAAGGGGGACCGTTCCCCTGAGCCTGGACAGACCTGGACCCATGAAGTCTTCAGCTCCCGTAGCTCCGAGGTGGTTCTGGTGAGTTCCTGGTGACCCACCTTTGCTCTGAGCTCGCCACGATCCTGGTGGCCTCCTGGCCTCACTTCCTGAGCCCTCTGCTTGTCTCCCGAACCTCTGCTAATTCCATCTTCTTCTTTCATCTCTCTACATTCTTTCCTGACTTCTTTCTGCTGCTTTCTTCCTGCCTATGTTGTGGCATGTGGCTGATTCTGTTCTTACAAGTACTGTGTTCTTTCGATCTCTTGAGCCTGTGCCATGGCTTGGGGACCAACTCAAGCATCAGGGGCTTAGATGCCAAGGGGAAGGCTGACCGCTTTATTAGAGTTTTTGAAGTGCTTTCCCTGGTGTTCAACCTGCCTCTCTACTTTCCATGTGTAGGAAGATGAGCAGCGCAGTGCTCGTGGGAAAGGCTTCTTTACTCCTCATGACTTGGTTTATTCCATAAGGAATAAACCATGTGTCCTAATTGTGAAAGTTATTCCCAAACACGGCCAGGCCCTCAGGCTTCACAAATGCTTTCCAGTATGCAAAGGCTCCTGGGAGACCTTAACCAAGCAAGCCTGCAAATTGAGAGTTGAAGGATGAAGGGCCTATTTTGGATGGGTCCCTGGAACAGGTTGATTTGAAGTATCACTGTGTGGTAGAGTCTCTTCCTGGGAGCACAGTTCAGGAGTCTATATATTTCCTAAGACTGCTATGACCTTTGCTTTCCAGAATTTTCTTCCAGATAGTTTCTCTTTTCCTCTTGTGATGTGACTGTCAACCCCTTTCTTCAGTCCCCTGTGTTCTGTCCCAGGAGACTCTCTGGACCTCTGTTATGTTCTGAGCATCTTTGGGAAACAGGCAACCCTGTTGTCAGCTAGGCTGCGGCCAGGCATCTGCCAACTCAGGCGGGCTTTGCTGCAACTTCTGCTGGGCATGTCTTTCTGCAGAGCGGGGGTGATGAGGAGTACCAGCGCATCTACACCACAAAGATCAAGCCACGACTGAAGTCGGAGGATGGAGTAGAAGGGGACCTTGGGGAGACCCAGAGCCGTACCATCACGGTGACCAGAAGGGTCACAGCCTACACTGTGGATGTGACTGGTCGGGAAGGAGTGAAGGACATCGACATCAGCAGCCCTGAGTTCATGATCAAGATACCAAAGCATGAAGTGACTGAAATCTCCAACACAGATGTAGAAATCCAGTCTGGAAAGACGGTGATCAGACTGCCCTCAGGATCGGGGGCAGTTTCTCCAACCCCTGGCTCTGCCATGGATATCCGGGCAGGTGCCATTTCTGCTTCAGGACCGGAGCTCGAAGGTGCTGGCCAATCAAAATTCCAGGTCACCGTACCTGGGATAAAGGTGGGAAGTCCCGGCGTCAATGTCAGTGCAAAAGGCTTGGACTTGGGTGGCAAAGGAGGGATCCAAGTTCCAGGAGTAGATGTTTCGTCTTCTCTTGGGGCTGGCTCAGTAGAGGTACAGGGTCCTTCCCTCCAGAGTGGTGATACTGGGAAAATTAAAATTCCAACCATGAAGATGCCAAAATTTGGTGTCTCAGCAGGCCCGGAGGGCCAGATACCAGAGGCAGGGCTGAGTGTTTCTGCACCTGAATTCTCTGTGGGGCATAAAGGTGACAAGTCAGGTTTGACCATCAGTGGGGACATTCAGGCCCCTCACTTGGAAGTCAGTGCCCCCTCTGTCAATATTGAGGGCCTTGGGGGGAAGCTGAAGGGTCCCCAAATCACTGGGCCATCACTCGAAAGTGACTTAGGTCTGAAAGGTACCAAGCTGCAGGGGAACATAGGAATGGATGCCTCTGCTTCCAAAATTGAGGGCAGCATCACTGGTCCCAGTGTGGAAGTTGGAACCCCTGATGTCGATGTTCCTGGGCTAGGAGGCAAACTGAATTTGCCCAAGATGAAAGTCCCTAAATTCTCGGCATCAGGTTCAAAGGGAGAGGGAGTTGGCATTGATGTGACAGTGCCCACCGGTGAAGTGACCCTTCCTGGGGTCTCTGGGGATGTTAGTCAGCCTGCGATTGCTACTGGTGGGCTAGAAGGGAAGATGAAGGGTGCTAAAGTCAAGACACCTGAGATGATTGTTCAGAAACCTAAAATCTCCATGCAGGATGTGGATCTGAGTCTTGGGTCTTCTAAACTGAAAGGCGATATGAAGGTGTCTGCTCCTGAGGTCAAAGGTGATGTTAAAGGCCCTCATGTGGCAGTCAAAGGCCCCAAAGTGGACATAGAGACACCAAACTTAGAGGGGACCTTGACAGGTCCCAAACTCAGCAGCCCTTCTGGAAAAATAGGGGCCTGTAGGATATCAATGGCAGATGTAGACCTAAATGTAGCTGCACCTAAAGGGAAAGGAGGTGTAGATGTTGTGCTACCCAAAGTAGAAGGGAAAATCAAAGTCCCTGAACTTGATGTCCAAGGCCCCAAAATGGATATTAGTGCCCCAGATGTGGAAGTGCATGGGCCAGAATGGAACTTGAAAATGCCCAAGATGAAGATGCCCAAGTTCAGTGTCCCAGGGGTCAAAGGAGAAGGCCCAGATGTAGATGTGGCTCTACCCAAAGGAGACATCAGTATTTCAGGGTCTAAGGTCAACATAGAAACCCCAAGTGCCAACATGGAAAGTCTAGGGGGCAAACTTAAAGGTCCTGATATTCATCTGCCTGAAGTGAGTGTCAAGACTCCAAAGGTTTCGATACCTGATGTCGATCTGCACATCAAAGGCGCAAAGGTGAAGGGAGAGTGTGATGTCACAACACCAAAGCTTGAGGGAGACCTGAAAGGCCTCCAAGTGGACACTGCTGCCCCAGAAGTGAATGTTCATGGCCCAGACCTGAAGATACCCAAGATGAAGATGCCCAAATTCAGTGTGCCAGGGTTCAAAGCAGAGGGCCCAGAAGTGGATGTGAACCTGCCCAAGGCAGATATGGACATTTCTGGGCCTAAGGTGGAGGTCAGTGCTCCAGATGTGAGCATTGAGGGACCAGAAGGGAAACTGAAAGGACCTAAGTTTAAAATGCCTGAAATGAATATCAGAGCTCCAAAGATCTCCATTCCAGATGTGGACTTGCACTTAAAAGGCCCCAGTGTAAAGGGAGAATATGATGTCACAGTGCCAAGACCTGAAGGTGAGATTAAAGTTCCTGATGTTGAACTTAAAAGTGCCAAACTGGACATTGATGCCCCGAATGTGGATATTCAAGGTCCTGAATGGCACATGAAGATGCCAAAGATAAAAATGCCCAAGTTTGGTATGCCAGGCTTCAAGGCAGAGAGTCCAAATGTTGAGGTGAATCTCCCTCAGGCCAACATTGATGTCTCAGGACCCAAGGTAGATGTCAAAACACCAGATGTGAACATTGAAGGACCTGAAGGAAAACTGAAGGGCCCTAAGTTGAAGACGCCTGAGATGAATATCAAGGCCCCAAAGATCTCCATGCCTGATGTAGATTTGCATATGAAAGGCCCCAAGGTAAAAGGAGAGTATGATGTCACAATACCAAAGATTGAAGGAGACTTGAAAGGCCCCAAAGTAGATGTCAGTGCTCCAGATGTTGACATTCATAGTCCTGATTGGAACTTGAAAATGCCAAAGATTAAAATGCCCAAATTTAGCATGCCTAGTCTCAAAGGAGAAGGCCCAGAGTTGGATGTGAACATGCCCAAGGCTGATATGGACATTTCTGTACCCAAACTAGATATTAGTGCTCCAGATTTGAACCTTGAAGGACCTGAAGGGAAGTTGAAAGGCCCCAAGTTTAAGATGCCTGAGATGCATTTCAAGGCTCCAAAGGTGTCTCTACCAGATGTGGACATGGATCTCAAAGGACCCAAAATGAAAGGAAATCTAGACATGTCTGCACCAAAAATAGAGGGAGAGATGAAAGTACCAGATGTGGACATCAAAGGTCCGAAGGTAGATATTAAATCACCAGATGTGGAAGGTCAGGGCTCAGACTGGAGCCTGAAAATGCCAAAGATGAAAATGCCTAAGTTCAGTATGCCTACTCTCAAAGGCGAGGGCCCAGATGTGGATGTGAACCTGCCTAAGGCTAACATTGATGTCTCAGGACCGAAAGTTGACATTGAAACCTCAGATGTGAGCCTTGAGGGCCCAGAAGGAAAGCTGAAGGGTCCCAAGTTTAAGATGCCTGACATGCACTTCAAGGCCCCTAAGATCTC